AGTAGAGACGGGGTTTCACCATGTTGACCAGGATGGTCTCGATCTCTTGACCTCGTGATCCACCCGCCTTGGCCTCCCAAAGTGCTGGGATTACAGGCTTGAGCCACTGCGCCCGGCGCCATTTCTTTATAGAGTCTACCTTGTTTTTATTCTGGCAAATCAGAGCATTAAAGATACTTCCATTGGTGTCACAGGCATCTGAGCCAGAGCAACTCCATCTTGAATAGGAGCTGGGTAAAATGAGGCTGGGACCTACTGGGCTGCATTCCCAGACAGTTAAGGCATTCTAACTTATAAGGTGAGATAGCATGTTGGCACAAGGTGCAAATCATAAAGACCTTGCTAATAAAACATGTTGCGGTAAAGCCAGCCAAAACCAACCAAAACAAACATGGCGACGAGAGTGACCTCTGGTTGTCTCCACTGTGACACTCACACCAGTGCCACGACAGTTTACAAATGCCATGGCAACGTCAGGAAATTACCCTATTTGGTCCAAAAGGGGAATGCATGAATAATCCACCCCTTGTTTAGCATATCATCAAGAAATAACCTAAAAACGAGCAACCAACAGCTCTCAGGCTGCTCTGTCTATGGAGTAGCCATTCTTTATTCCTATGCTTTCCTAATAAAGTTGCTTTCACTTTATGGACTTGCCTTGAATTCTTTCTTGTGCAAGATTGCAAGAACCCTCTCTCGGGGTCTGGATTGGGACCCCTTTCCCATAACATTGGGGTAGGGACATTTAGAAGGGCTCCTTTGAGGGAGATTTGCACAGCTTCTCACTTTTGGTAAAACAGGTGGAGACTTGGCTACTTCCTGAGAAAACAATCAGCAGGAAGTCCCAAGGCTTGATTGTTCTCACTGAGTAGGGAGGGGGGTTCGGAATCACATGGCTTTCTGTTCTGATGTTTGTGTCACAGAAAAATGTTCAGCCTTCATTAGTGATTTTCTCGTACACCCTGGCAAGGCTCCCTTTCGTCTATGAGCGACAGCTGATGCCAGACCACATCTAGGAACTGCACCCAACCTCGCTGCTTCCACCTTTCATCCTTTAATGCCACTGTATACCACGGTCTCAAGCAGCTCCCCTTCTTCTGGCAATTGGCTTGAACAATGGCCACACTAGGGGCACAGGGTGCTGAACTTAATCCTGATTCCCTGAAACAAAAGCGTTTCCACTGCAAGATTTCTGATCTTATCAAGTAGTGTCTGACTGTCTTTTGTTATGACAACATAGAAGTGACTCTGCCAGATCGTACACACCAACCAGCGGAAAACATCTCTGTGGTGTGCCACGATTGGAAGAAAGACCCTTACTGCTCCATGAATTGCAGATTCTTGTCTTTAAATAGGCTTGCCCTCAGAGTAAAAGCACGAATTCTCAAACCATGAATTTTAAAAAGTGAACATACCTGATTCCTGGCAAGGCTGACGGAGGGTGCATTTTAAGGGAGACTTTATTACTGCCTCCTGATCTTTAGACTCAAAATAAACAGATACACAGTAGTTTGTGTTTGGAATTAACTTGTCAATGACATAGGTGAAATTTCCAGTCATGTTTCTTTTTATTTCGGGTTTATGCTGTAAAAATAAGCAAAAAATCAGTAAGACTATGAGAATTTCATTCAGAGGCAGGCCGTAAGAATCTCTTTTGGGATTTGTCTGCAAACAGAGTTAAGTTTATCACTGGCTTGGTAAGAAAAAGGATTTATAAGTCACCTGGAGCAAGTAATTTATCAAACTACATGTACATGCACTTATATACACCCGCACATACACATATTTTATAACCATGAAATCTAGTCTGGCAACTTCATTTTACAAATGAGATAAAGGTCTTCAAAGAGGAATACATGTCTCTGTGATGTCATTTTTACAAGATTATCTTCTCTCATGGATAGTGTGTGTCTACTTTACACTTGAGAAAGTGCCTTCATAAATATTAACTCTTTTGACTTTCAAAACAGTCTGCAAAATAGGCATTATCTCCATTCAACAAATGAGAAAACTAGCTCCTTGTGGCTAAGTAACTTCTCCAAGGTCAGAGAACTTGTCTGTGACAAAACTGACTGATGGCTAGTTTCTCATCTTCTCCCTTTAACATATTTATATGATATCTATGATAAAATATATACATACGATATATATACATATATATGTAATATATAATATACATCTAAAATATATAAGTATATGATATATGTATATATATAGATAGGACTTCAGTCTGTTGCTCAGGCTGGAGTGCAATGGCATGATCTTGGCTCACTGCAACCTCCACCTCCTGGGTTCAAGCAATTCTCCTGTCTCAGCCTCCTGAGTAGCTGAGATTACAGGCACCTGCCATCACACCCAGCTAATTTTTGTATTTTTTGTTTTGTTTTGGTTTCTCTCTCTTTTTTTTTTTTT